CCTCTTTCCAGGTGGACCCGCACGATCACGGTTTTCCTGGAAAGACTCGGCTGGGATGGGTTCTTGCTCCAACCCCTTTCGTGTTCACAATCTCCTGGGAGGGAGGTGAACAGTTACAGGGGGGGGGGGGACCGCAGGACGAATACACTTTTGAGGGTGCAGGTCCCTAGGCCAGAGCGAAAAAAGGAAAAATAGTAGTAGAAGGAAAAGAGCTCAAACCACGTCGGGAATGTCACGCTATAGCTGCTCTCCAGCTGGAGTGTGGGTCACTCACACCACCAGTTAGGAGGGCAAACTAATGCTCGATAAGCCGAAAACGCTCATGAGATGTTGTCGACGATGTCAGTGGCGGACGGTCCGGTCAGGAAAGTTGGCCAACAATGGCAGCAGAGAGAGGGCGGTCTTCACAGCTCCGGGTCCGGCAGTCGAGTGCAACACGCTGCAACACAACACAACAAGTCCATCATAATTCACACGGACTCGGAAACGGCCATGCAGGCGCTGCAACACAGTCAACCAAGAGACAACGTCCAAATCATAACCTCGATCCTCACACAGCTACAGGACTTCCAAAGACAAAATCACCCAGTCGTCTTACACTGGGTTCCCAGTCATGTTGGGATCGGGGGAAATGACATGGCAGACGAAGCAGCCAAGGCAGCCACACGTTCTAGAAGCGTACACATTCAAGTTCCAGCAAGCGTGCAACAGATCAAGAACCACCTCAGAAAGACAACCAAGCTCCACATCCAAAAGAGCTTCCTTGACGCATTCAACGCTGATTCCCAATGAGCCAAATGGTACTTGGCGGCTACAAAAGAGGAACCACCATTCGCAGACAAGAAAACACCAAGACAAACCCAAGTTAGCCTTCATCGACTACGACTAGGGTACAAGTGCTCCAGGCAGACGATCGGAAATGTCGTCAGGGAATGCACCTACTGTCAGGAGTCAGCGGCCAACCCACTGGAACACTATCTCCTCGACTGCGAAGTCACACAAAGTCTCCGAAACAGAATTCGAAACTTCCAAGAAGAACACAACACCAGCGGCCACTCTTACCCGAAAAGCCCAAACAAACCACATTCACCACCTTCTCCGGGTCATCACACGATACCCACCACCCAGATAGCTTAGGAAGTATCCTCCCCCAGCAAGTGCGGACCCCAGTTCGGGGGGCGCGCCACTCCGAAACTGATCACGTCCAAGAGTGGGGGTTGGTGGTAAGCGTTCACTGACCGAGGGTCCGCTCACACTTGCAACCTACAGTATCCTTTCATATCTGCAGGTAGGACAACCTCCAATCCCAAATCCGGTCTGGCTGCTCCAGGAGCTCCAGCCGGAACCACCAAACGGGCCGCCTACAGGCAAAGGCCCGTGTCGGACTACGGTCCGATAATCTCAACGACAACAACACTCAACCGTCATATTTTGTGAGGGTGTCGTCGTCAGATCTCCAGGTAAAGTGATCTTAATTGTGAACTAAATATAAAATATATATATATATATATATATATATATATATATATATATATATATATATATATATATATATATATATATATATATATATATATATATATATATATATATATATATATATATATATACACATATATATATATATATATATATAAGAAAAAATATCACCTCTTGCACATATGTACACTAATATATCAATAAGATAAAATGCAAAAATGTGTAAACTTTTACTTCTACTTTTTAGTCAGAATTCGTTAATCTAAGTGGTCCGAGTTGGTTATTCGAGATGGTCCGAGTTGGTTATTCGAGATGGTCCGAGTTGGTTATTCGAGATGGTCCGAGTTGGTTATTCGAGATGGTCCGAGTTGGTATTTGATGGTCCGAGTTGGATGTGGGTCGAGTTGGACTGTAACCAAACAAACCACATACACCCATAGTCGAAGAGAGATGAAGGCACCTAGTAGAAGAATCATCACCGATACTCACCCGGTCTTCAGTAGCAGTACTCTACTCACTAGCACCATGGGAATCCCTGTCTCCTATAGCCCATCAATATTTTCATTCACTCATGCTGCATTCACGGGCAGGGTTTATGCTGTTTACTGTACGCGAGAGGGAGAGTGACAGAGGTAATCCTGCCCAGTTATGTCAAATCACCGCGCAACCAGGTGTACTTGACCCCAGTCTGAAATGAGATTTAGTTTCCCTCACTTTTTGCGATTGTTTCCCATACATTGTATACACTCCTTAGCTGTGGTGTAGTGTAGTGTGTGTCTATACGCCAATCTCAGCGGTTTCCTACAATCATGCGTGGCACGCGTCTGTATTCTGGGAGATCCGGGTAAAACAGGATTGCCCATATGGCTGCGTGCTTTAGCGTGGAACCCAGTGAATCACGTCCAATATAATCCCAGCCGGGAGCATGGAAACCTTGGTCCCGCCAAGCAGTCACCACCAAGTCGGCTACAATAAGAACTGGAATACTCCAACCATTAACCACTGTGATTTCCCTTCCCCTTCCTATCTAACCACTGTATGCAGTTGAATGGAACTTACTTGTGAGTACGGTTGACATCGCCCACAAGTTTTGTGGCCACGTGAGGCATTTTATAGACGCAGAGGATCATGACACCCCTACCTGCCACTGACGAGAGACAGAGAGTAACTCGTTCGTACCTTCAAGCATGCCTCCCTCTCTCAGGAACTACTTAACTTTCTATTTAGATCTTAAAATATTCCCTGATTGTCCTTCATTTCTTTTTAGAGAAAGACTAGCACTATTTTAATATTTGTGCACATCTTGAATTCAGGACACGAACGTCTTCCACTGCTTTCCAGTAATTATTTTAGTTACTCGTGAAGCGCATGATGTCATTCTTCTCATATTTTAATTATTTACTAAGGACACATGTATTATTTTTTTCAAATGGCAAATAATCCAATATAACTTTGGTTAATATTATAGCTGGCTTTTAACTTCATCAACAGTGTATGAATTAGTTTGACAAAATACATTTCGTAGGCCTCATGGCGTCAGTTCCCGACTACCCCGCTTATGTCGCCCACTTATGTTTCCCTGTTTGTTAATCAGTAATTTTCTTTCTAAATTTCAGAATATCATACAAACACATAAAGCTATTGTTCGCCGAGCACCAAGCGGGGAGTCGGCAACTAAGTGAACAGATGAAGCTCATGAGGCATAGGAAACGTATTTTGTCAAATTAATTCATACACTGTTGACGAAGCTAAAAGCCAGCAATAATATTAACAAAGTTATCTTGAGTAATTTTTCATTTGAAAATATGTTACGTGTATCCTTAGATAATTGAAACATGAGAATAATGTCAGCATGCACTCACGAATTATAGTTATTAACACAATTACGGGAAAACCTCGGAGGACATTCGTGTCCGGAATTAAAAACGTAAATAAATATTAGAATAGCGTTAGTCTTTCCCCCAAAAGAAGTAAAAGACAATCAGGAGATATTTTAAAAATAAATTAGTTCTGTGGGCGATTGGCATCTGCCACAGGCAGAAGTGTCCTCACCTGTTGCGCAGATAGAACGCCACACCTGGCGATGTAGGCGATGTCAACCGTTACTCACAAGTAAGTCCAATCCAATCGCAAATATTGTTTAGATAGGACGGGAAAGGGAAACCACAGTGGTTAATGGGTGGATTATTCCAGGTCTTAGTGGAGCCGACTTGGTGGTTGTGGTGGTGGTAGACTGGGCTACAGCACATGGTGGTAGACTGCTTAATGGAACTACGGCATGGAGGCTAGTGACTGGACTATTCACGGGGTCCTACACTGAAGCATGCAGACATACGGATAACCTGTTTTCACCCGGATCTTCCATGGATATAGAGAGATGCGTGCCACACAAGCATGTAGGAAAACCACTGAGATTGGCACAAAGCTGACACTACACTACACCACAGCTAAGGAGTGTACTGTATACAATATATGGGGAACTGTTGCATAAAATGAGGGAAACTAGATCTGTCTTCTGACTGGGGTAAGGTACACCAGGTTGTAAGGTGATCTGACTTAACTGGCCAGGATTACCTCCTCACGTATAGTTAATGGGAGAGAAAAACTGCTCCTGGGTGCAGCATAAGTGAATTGAATTATTGATGGCTCTGGGAGACAGGAATTCCCATGGTGCTAGTGAATACTGTATACCCACCGAGTATCGGTGCTGATTCTTCTATTAGGTACCTTCACCTCTCATCAACTATGGGTGTATGTGGTTTGTCTAACCAAGTCCTGGTGTGAGGTCGACGACCCTGATGGTTGATCTTACACTCTGGACGTGGGAGTACTTTTTAAAGCACTGTAATGGTGTATTTTGGGGCAGTGTCGTTGAGCACGGTTACGGGTATGGTGGAGGAAGCACTCATGACTTATGAACTCAAGAGTAACTAATAAGAATCAGTTGGTTAGCTGCTCCCGACGAGACATGAGTAGTTTCCCGTTTCTTACATAATCTTGAGTCTTATGTATGTGCGTGATAATTAGGCTCTGATGATACCAGGCCATTATGACTGATCCAGGTTTATATGCAGGTTATCATTTGCCATCCATGATCGTTGTAAAGTATATCTAATCTCTTATTCTAAGACTTACAACTCTCTTATACAGCTTCAGCTATCAGAGGATGAGTTTAATTCCATTACAAGACAAGCAAATAAATTTTTGATGATCCTATAACAAAAGATATTCTTGTACTATTTACTCTTCATTTACTTGATGTTAATAATGTGGAAAATCTCAAACAGACCTAACTAATAATTTCCTAGTGATTAATATTATTTAGTGGGGTTTTGAGACCACTATACTATACATACACATATATATACATGTATATACATATACATGTATATACATATATATATATATATATATATATATATATATATATATATATATATATATATATATATATATATATATATATATATATATATACTTAACAAGTATTATTACTAATGGTTACCACACAATTTCGACAGGATGGAAGGAAAGAAATGTCCTTGGGGCTGCACCACCTACAAGGTGCATTCTATCTTCTCTTTTTGGGCATTGGCATCGCCTTCCTCATTCTTCTGGGGGGAAATTAACCCAATAACGCTCCCAGTACAGTAGCAACTCATGCTGACAGGCGGTGCAGGAAGGAATACGTCAACCATCCTAGTTCTACTTGTGAGCAGGGCGGTGCCCTTCTGAGAGCCGAGTTAGTGAAGGTCAAGGACGAAAACTTTAAATTAAAGGAAGTGATAGCGAGGATGAAGGAGGAAGACACGAGACAAGGAAAGTCCGTGTCTGACAAAAACTCAGGTGAATGGAAGGAAGTGAAAAGAAAAACGACCAAACTGGTGGTGAGAAAAGACACATAAGAACATAAGAAGAACATAAGAAAATAAGGTTGGCAGCTCCTGTCGAGAGTTACTACCACTCTCTATCATCCATGAATCTATCTAGCCTCCTTTTAAAACTGTCCAGCTTCCCATCACTTCTACAAAGTTGCTAAGCTTGTTCCACTCGTCCACCACCCTATTTGTGAACCAGTTTCTTACTATTTCCCTCCTAACCCTAAACTTATTCAACTTAAATCCATTGCTACAAGTCCTATCCTGCTCGGATATTATGAGAACTTTATCTATATCGCCTTTATTGATTCCTTTCACCCACTTAAATACTTCTATCATATCTCCCCGCACTCTTCGTCTTTCTAGGGAATACAAGTTTAGTTTCTTTAACCTATCTTGATATGGAAGGTTTCTAAGCCCAGGAATTATTTTCGTCATTCTTCGCTGCACCGACTCCAGTGAATTGATATCCATTCTATAATAAGGGCACCAGAACTGAACCGCATACTCAAGGTGCAGCCTGACTAGCGCAAGACATAGTTGCTATAAGACCTCTGCACTGCTTTCGATTCAGTGGATGATTTGGTATATCTTGACTTTCGCAAAGCCTTCGACAGGTGTCCCCACGAAAACTAATAAGAAAAGTTGAGGGTCGTGGCATTGGAGGAGATATTCTAAAATGGATTAGGGCGTGGTTAAAGGACAAGAAACAGAGAGTGAGCATTACCGGCACGAAATCCGATTGGAGTATCGTCACACGTCACAAGGCTCAGTACTTGGACCATTATTATTTATTATAGACATAAACGGAATAGGTATCGGCGTTGACAGCAACATAAGTAAATTTGCTGATGATACTAAAATAGGACGTGTAATTAAATCTGATGAGGCCTCCGTAAAACTACAGGAAGATCTAAAAAAAAAAATTCGAATGATCTGAAAAATGGCAGCTGAAATTCAATGTGGACAAATGTAAAGTACTTAGTCGATGAGATGTAAACAGAGAAACCAGATATCAGATGAGAACGATGTTAAGGAGAAATCCGAATAGGAGAAAGATTTAGGAGTAATGATAAGTAGGAATCTAAATCCAAATAAACAATGTGTATTTGCTCGAAATAAGGCTAACAATGTACTTGGGTTCATAGAAAGGAGTGTTAGTTACAAGACTAGAGAGGTCATCCTAAAAATTATATCTTCTGCTTGTGAGACCTCACTTGGATTACGCAGTTCAATAATCTGGTCACCGTATTACAGAATGGATATAGAATCCCAGGAAAGAATTTAGAGGAGAATGACAAGACTAATCCCGGGCATAAGGAACCTTGAGTACAGAGACAGATTAAAGTATCTTAATTTGCACTCCCTCGAGAGACGTAGAGTGAAAGGCGATATGACAGAGGTTTATAAATGGATGTCGGGGCTAAACAAAGGGTAAATTACAAAGGTACTCAAACTGTCCAACCAGGAGCGAACTCGTAACGATGGTTTTAAATTAGACAAATTTATATTTATGCGCGAAATAGGTAAACATTGGTTTGAAATTAGAGTAGTGGACGAGTGGAACAAGTTACCAAACATCATCATTAACTTGAATACTGTACACTGGATAGCTTCAAACATAGGTTGGATGGATATATGAGCAATAGGGGTTGGGTGTAAATGGGACTGATTAGTAAGGGCCAATAGGCCCGCTGTAGTTTCCTCCATTCTTATATTCTTATGTTCATTGCCATCCAATTAATGTGTAACAGGGTAAGGACAATAATGCACGCATGTAACCAAGTAAGCAAATGCTCTAAGCGCTATACAGTTGCTCACACGTCGTAATATGCTTAGTGAGAAAACTAAGTCCTTCTTCAGTCTGTGTTCTAAATGTTCCTCGTTTTATAGATTCATAAAGTTTTTCTCTGATAAGCTGGGAGTGCACACGACAATGTAATGTTAATCCTTGCAGCCTTCCACCAAGCTCCACTATTGCTGTACACAGTTTTATTCATCAATTATAAACACATCCACCTCCATATATTTTAAATGTATTTCTTAAAAAAGTGATTTACCATTAAAAAATTATTCTTCTAAAATCTCAAACTAGAACATTAACATAACATATTTTTTTTATAATGAAGCTGATTGTGATGGTGTGTCAACAGTCCAGTGAATAATGTCTTTTGGCAAATTGTTGGATTATTAGTTGTAAATAATTGAATGTGTTATTTACCAGGACTAGGCATATTTAAGTAATTTTGTAGTCAATGGGTAATACTGTATATCACATTTACTGTTACTGTGTTACATGCAAAGTAGTTGAAATGTTTACACCACTGATGATTATAATAAAGGATTGGTTGTTTGGTGGGCGATAATTAATGATTGCCAGTTGGCCTGTACATGGTAGCTCCTGTCGAGAGTTATTACCACTCTCTATCATCCATGAATCTATCTAGCCTCCTTTTGAAACTTTCCAGAGTTCCCGCACTTACTACAAAGTTGCTAAGCTTGTTCCACTCGTCCACCACCCTATTTGTGAACCAGTTCCTTCCTATCTCCCTCCTAAACCTAAACTTATCCAACTTGAATCCGTTGCTCCGAGTCCTATCCTGCTCGGATATTATAAGAACTTTATCTATATCCCCTTTATTGATTCCTTTCACCTACTTAAATACTTCCATCATATCTCCCCGCACTCTTCGTCTTTCTAGGGAATGCAAGTTAAGTTTCTTTAACATATCCTGATATGGAAGGTTTCTAAGACCCGGAATCATTTTTGTCATTCTTCGCTGCACCGACCCTAGTGAATTTATATCCATTCTATAATAGGGGCACCAGAACTGAACCGCATAATCGAGGTGCAGCCTGACTATAGCAAGATATAGTTGCAATAAGACCTCTGCACTCTTATTACTTACACTTCTAGAAATAAAACCCAATACTCTGTTTGCCTTATTTCGAACATTAACGCACTGTTTTCTAGGCCGTAGGTCCGGGCTTACAAGTACCCCTAGGTCTCTTTCACAAGTCGACTTCTCTAGGTTGATGTTGTTAAGGCTTAGAAATACAACTTTTTTTCTACCTATAAGAATTTTAAAGTCATTAATTTATTATAATCTTGTTTGTATCTGGGGTTAGATCAGTTGGCAGCCGCATCCACTAATTTAAACTCTGCTAAGTATTAAAGAAAGTTAAGAGTATAAAAAGCAAATAAAGAAATTTAATCTGTACTTAATCTAACATCGATAATTAATATATTTTTTATTCACTGAGGAACTATTTGAAATTTGATAAGACTTTATTGTCTTGACTTGTGTCATTATTCTTTTATTATTATAGAAGAAAGTTGGAAGAGAACAATTACTCTAATTCACCTCAATTTGAATAATATCTTGGATAAATTAAGCAAAAGTTTGTGTTATTTTCTTTTCATATTTATCATCCCCTCAATATACGTGTATTTTTACGATCTACATGATCGCTTATTAACAGTTCAAAAACTATCGTTAACCGACAAATATCGATTCCACAGAGAGTGAGCATTAACGGCACTAAGTCCCATTGGAGCAACGTCACAAATGGGGTTCCCCAAGGCTCAGTACTTGGACCATTATTATTTATGATATACATAAACGACATAGATATCGGCATAGACAGCAACATAAGTAAATTTGCTGATGACACTAAAATAGGACGTGTTATTAAATCTGACGCGGACTTGGCAAAACTACAGGAAGATCTAAACAAATTTGTCGAATGGTCTGAAAAATGGCAGATGAAATTCAACATCGACAAATGTAAAGTACTCAGTATAGGAGATGTAAACAGGGAAACCAGATACCAGATGAACAACGATGCCATAGAGAAATCCGACTGCGAGAGAGATTTAGGAGTAATGATAAGTAGGAACCTTAAACCAAGTAAACAATGTGTTTTTGCTCGTAACAAGGCTAATAAAGTACTTGGGTTCATACAAAGGAGTGTCAGTTACAAGACTAGCGAGGTCATCCTAAAACTGTATCTTGCTCTTGTGAGACCACACCTGGACTACGCAGTTCAGTTCTGGTCACCGTATTACAGAATGGATATAGAATCCTTGGAAAGAATTCAGAGGAGAATGACAAGACTAATCCAGGGCATTAGGAACTTTGAGTATAGAGACAGGTTAAAGCATCTTAATTTGCACTCCCTCGAGAGACGTAGAGCGAGGGGCGACCTGATAGAGGTGAATAAGTGGAAGGCAGGGCTAAACAAAGGGGACATTACAAAGGAACTCAAACTATCCAACCAGGAGCGAACTCGTAACAATGGTTTTAAATTAGATAAATTTAGATTTAGGCGTGTAATAGGTAAACACTGGTTCGGAAACAGAGTAATGGATGAATGGAACAAGTTACCAAATATCATCATTAACTCGAATACGCTGAATAGCTTCAAACATAGGTTGGATGCTTATATGAGCAATAGGGGTTGGGTATAAACGGGACTGCCCAGTATGGGCCAATAGGCCCGCTGCAGTTTCCTCCATTCTTATGTTCTTATATATATATATATATATATATATATATATATATATATATATATATATATATATATATATATATATATATATATATATATATATATATATATATATATATATATATATATATGCTGATAACCACAAGGAGAGAAGAAAACACGTGTTTTCTTCTTTCCTTGTGGTTATCAGACAAGGTTCTTCAAACTCCAGAGCACGAGCAGTAGATATATTCAATAAGTTGTACAAGACTTGGCGTGATAGCCGACCGATACAGAAGTGGGCACAAGGGACCCCGGGCCGTATGTAGGCCGAGGCTGATCTGAGAGAAGTTGTCTAGCTGGGCAAGGAGAGTTGCTAGACATCACTAGGACAATAAATGAGGTCCTCTAATTACTCGACTAGCGCGGTACAGACATAGTATATCGGGACATAGTAAGTGAACATAGGCATTAGACATAAGCATAGATATCAGACATGGTATAATAATATGTAGCAATACAGACATGTGAATAAATGGTACAATGAATGGTAACGGAGTCCTGCCGTCA